GACATCCACCCAACATAGCCCCACTAACCATATACTTGAATCCCATATCGATCACAAAAACCCTAATCCAGAAGAGACTAAAGGCCTCGCCCAGAACAATAGCAAGATTACAGCAGATCGCACAAAAAATCATACCTTGGAACATCTTATAAATATACATAGATGGCTCCTTCACTAGACAACTCACCAACAGCAGAATGGGGATTGGATAGGTAATCCAAACAGAGTCAGGAGTGGATATTACTACATTCCAGGCAAAAACCTGAGATATTCTATCCTTTCCTGAGCTGAATTAATTGCGATATTAATAGCAATCAGTACAATCAGTACAAAAAAGAAAATAAACATAATTACAGACATTTAAAGTGCAATCAATGGAATAATAAGTCAAACCAAGACAGGCATTACCAGAAACAAGACAACAAAGAACCCAAACAGATGTTTGATCAATACAATTCTGAAAATCATAGAGATACAAAGAATAAAAATCAAGTGGACAAAAATCAAAAGCCACACAGGCAATCTAGGAAATGAACTAGCAGACAAACTTGCAGCGACTACACTGACAGACAAGCCCAAGGATATCATTAGAGTACATGAACTAAACTCAACAGACGATATGACAATACTCAGATGGGACCAAGCTTTCATGGATCTCCCTTTTAGCACTCTAGGAAAGATGCTCCTTAAAACCAAATGGACAAGCAAATAGAGAACACTGAGATGAACGCAAGACTGGCTCACAAGTGCAAAGTCCAAGAAGATAGACTGGAACCTAACCTTACAAACACTATTACCTTACAAGATTACATCACTACAAACTAACCAGGACTGTAGAAACAGATTCTTCTGATAAAAGACTTGGATAAACAAACACCCCATATTGACAAACCTGTATACACAAAAACCACACTTATATAAAGACCCAACCTGTATCATCTGTATGAGACAGGAAGAAAAAGATCTTCACCCCTTCATATGCAGATCAAACAAGATAAGACTCATAGAAATATATACATCCTTCCTTATAGAAGAATGCACAGCCAGGGCCAATGTAACAAGCAAAATGAACCAATCCATAAAAAATAGCAATGATCACTCCAACCAGAAAGATGAACAGGATCATATGCAATAGAATGGATAGAAATTATTAGAAGAGCTATTATACACAAGATGAAGCAAACGGCAGTCAAGATTATAGGTAACAAGGAAGCAGTGATAACAGTCTTAAAGATAGTAACAACCCTGTTTTGGCAGGAGAAGAAAGAAGTCTGGAAACTAAGATGTAAATTGACTATAGAATGGGAAAATACATAAGGAATCACTAAGAAAAAGAAAAAGGAGTAAACACGAAATAAGTGCCATCAAATAACTAACAGCTCACAAAGAGAAAAAAGACTGCAAAACATCAATGGACAACTATACATAGAACTAACTAACCATACTATGAAAGAGACCCTAGGAAAGGGATACTCGATCAATACAATTTTCTCATTAAATTTCAGTGTTGATGGAGTTATAACATACTAAGATTCACCAATAGATGAACTGCAGTGAGTCGCAGGGTTCATTAAGATACTGAGTCAATAGTTTTTTCCTATCATAAATGTATTTTCCCATAATTAAATTTGTGTATAAAGAAAGTACAAATGATTAAATAAAACTATATGACATGACTTCACCAGCTTTAATAAAATATATATATATATATATATAAAAATACTAATTATCTTTATTCTAGTTTCATACAAATAGAATTTTTTCACTTCCAATTCTAAATAGATTTTTCTCTCTAAAAAATATACAATAAATATAAATGAATATAAACAAATTTAGAAAAGATACAAAACTGGCAACTGTGTTGAGTTCATTAAAGACCATTTGAAAGGTGTATTTCTCCTTTTATGAAACTAGAAAGTCAAAGTCTGGCAAGTTAGTTGGGAGAAATTCTGAAGGATTAAAATCCAAAAATAGAAATTTCTAGGTTTTCTAGATAGGTAATAGTAGAAATTCAATTCAATTGAATATTTCTAGATAACAAGCTGTCTAGTGGATTTTTTAAATATAGGGTTCTAGAAATATTTGTAAATACTAATAATAGAAATATGTAATCATTGTAATTAAATTTATAAATTATTTTATTAATATCAATAAACAAGGTTGAACTTCTATTTCACAAAAATATGTAACCTATAGATTAATAATTTAGTGGTTAGCACTTTATAGATCATATCATAAGATGCAGATTAAATTCTTCTAGAAGGCTAATATAATTCTCCTAATCTAAAAATAGATAGAATTTATATTTATTGTTTTAATCATAAATTAGCTAGTATTTCTGAATATATAGTAACTACTGATCTATATTAAGATTGTGATTGATCTAATATCAAGATTAGATGGGATTATTCTGATATTATTGGTTTTCTCAATAGTAACAAAAAGATTAAACTCTAAACTAATAGTGTAATCTCAAAATGAAGTACTTAGTTGTGCTGAGTTTCATAGATTTTACTATTAATAGATCTTGAGTAAAAAAGTAAAACTGTAGATTACTTTGAAAAATTAAAAACCAAGATTCAGGATACTATAATTATTGATCTGATAACTAGAATATTTTTAAGAAAAAATAGTTTTGAGAAAAAATTAAAATAAATTGTATATATTTTTTGAATAGATAATAAATATATACAGTATTATATAGGTAAAGATAGGGCTTTAAAGGGGGAGACAGGGACAAAGATCAAATGTCCCTCATTAGAAAATTAAAATTTTTAAATTAATAACTATAAAAAACTATACACAATTGTTTTCCATTATCCAAATCATTAATTTATAGCATTTCCTGACTTTGTCCCTATTAAAGTGAAGAGCTATAAATTTAGTCCCTCAAAAAGGAACATAAGTGATCTGTAAAATTTTATATGCTAAATACTTTATAGACTCATTATTATATGTAGAATATATATATATTTACTTATACTGTATAATCTGTGGGTCCATAGCACAGTGGTAGTGCTCCCAGGTCATAATCACAAGGACAAAAGTTCAATACTATATGAGAACCAAGTGAAAATTCAGCTACAAGGTGGTACAAAGATCTCATCTTTCCTATGATGATAATTAAATATTCCAACAAGGCATTTATCCATTACACATATAGTAAGAATAACAAATTAATACAAGGTTCTATATAAGGCTAGTATGAGTGATATAAGTTCTCTACACATAACTAGCTTCAGATATTCCAAAAGAAAGTAAAAGAAGGACTCCATTCATCTATTATAGTCATAACAAGACAAAACATGACACAAGGTTTCACAAATATAGTCAAAATAAAGTGATATAAAGGTTCCATAATACAAGAACTAATTACTCTAATAGAAGAAGAAGGACCTGATCACTTATATAAAGACCAAGATATGCCCATATACAGCCAAAAAAAGATTCAGCCAAGTGCGATGCTGAAGACACATAAACAGGTTTCAAAAAATCAAAGACTAACAATCGAAGGATTGACATCCTTCATACAAACTAAATCCTAATTAAATAACAAGACAGGTACCAGATACAATGTCCATGCATAAATTCCTTCCTTGCCCTGAATCATGCATTCTTAATGAAAACATTAATGTTATGTCTTTTGTTTACTGAGACATAGTCTTATATAATTGCCCATGAGAGAAAACTGGCTATGAAAGATATAAACCAACATAAGGTAAAGTTTGATCTTGAGATTTGTTAATGGTCAAAGTGAATACCAACTATACAGGAAATTGTTTTCTTTTTAGTACAAAAGATAATCTAGTATCTTCAGATGGCAAAAGAGGAATTCTAGAAATTAATACGCATTTACTGCTATGTTCCCCTGTTATTATTTCAGCATCGATTATTCGTGTTTAAAATTGTTGGCAGATAAGTCTTGTCCCATTGCAGAGTCCATTAACTGGATCTATATTTCTAAGTAATATTATGGGGGCACCAACTTTTAGTACGAGTGTGTGTGGAGGAAGACCTTGAAGTATTAGGGAGTTAAGGTATTCAATTGGGTATAGGTTTAGATTGTCATCTATTACTGAGTCAAAACTGTAGTATACATGTTGTTTTCCAGGATACTTGATTATAATCCGCTCATTAATTTCATCTACATCACTGTTTAATGGGATCAGTATTGCTCTTTCCATTATAAAGGTATTTTCGGTGAGGTTAAAGTATAGAATATTTATTAATGAATCAATGGAATTATCATTATTCTGTGAATGTATGATCATCTCATTAGGAAGTCGAATTAAGTCACCTTCTATTGTAGGTTCAATACCATCACCTATCCTAAGAAGGTACTCCATGAATGTCCTCGTCTCATTATTGGTAGCTTGGGTTGATTAATAACTCATATATTGATGGTTAAAGGAAAAATATGGATATGGCTCCATACATGGGATTTGTTGAGAATAGCATTGATGATTTGAGCTCTGGTATCTTTGCGAATTACATGTAGAACCTGACGAAAGTCACCCCCAAATACAAATATTTTACCACCAAATGGAAGATCATTCTCCATGATATCCTTTAATGTCCTTTCAACGGTCTCAAGAGCATGTCAATATGTCATTGGAGCTTTGTCCCAGATGATCAAAACAGTTTTTTGAAGTAATCTGGCCAAGACAGTTCCCTTTTCAATGTTACATGTTGTGCTTCAATTTATCATGGTAATAGGTATTTTGAACCGAGAGTGTGTAGTGTGTCTACCGCGCAATAATAATGCAGCAATGTCAGAAAAGGCTACCACCAACATGATCTGATGATTGATTCATATGTGAGCAAGGAGGCAATCATAGAGATAAGTCTTTCCGCTTCCAACAGGACCATCCACAAACAGTACACCCCTTCACCTCAGTTTATAAGGCCCAGTATCTCATCAAATACCATAGGTTGAGCTTCATTTAATATGTTTGCTTTGGCGAGATCTTCTAAGTAATGTGATAGGATGATTTTTCTAGAAGTATTCTCAGCAGTTCCCAATATTTATTTCTGGAAATAATTCTGGTAAATCATAATCTGCCACGGTCTTCATATGTCTTTGTAGAAATATGTTCAGGCTTTGAAGGACTGCTTGAATTTGGAGTTGACCCTCCAGAATCCCTCTATATGCAAAGTCCTCCATTATATATTGAAGTTCTCATTACACAACTGACGTACATCTGCAATATCTCCAAAGACTAATAACATTGTGAATAGATTGCATAGTTGGTTAGGCATCTGAAATTCCCTAGCTTCAGCCATGTACTGTTGATGCTTATCATCATTCTCTAGGAAACCTCTGCGTTGAGCACTTTCCTTGAAAGTGGCACATAAAACATTATCTACCACCTTTAGTTTCTCAAAATTCTTGACCCCTTTTACCTTTGTTAACAATAAATGGAGATAGTATCGTTCACCTAAATGGTAAGTTATTCATTATATTTACTCTACATTTATTAATAATAAATTAAAATTATATATATTTACCTTCACCCGGATGAGCCATAAATATTCTCACAATACAATTTCCATGTTGATGTTTCTTCCATCTCTTGATCATCTTATTCCAAGTATATTGTTGAGGAAAATCAACATAGAGCAGATTACTTGCATCTGGATCTTGAGCATTCGTTATGAAGTACTCAGTAAGGGATGTTTGTTGATTTTGGTCAGTAATCACCTCGGTTATATTGTCGCTTTTATTGAAGATAATTCTTTGTTGGTTGGGAAGATGTATCTGCAAGCATGTGATGGCAGGATTCATTCTGCTCATATGAAATCCAAGGATTTAGCAGACGGCTTCTGGGGCTGAGACCCAATGGGCCTCAACAAAGTTTTGAATTTCATTAATTACGACTGGTGTTTCATGATTCTGAGATTCCTTAGTAACTTCGATCATTGTTCTATTATGGCCCTTATAAATATACTTGAATAAATTTTTGGTTGCCTTTATGCTGGCACAGATCTCTACATTAATATGGCAACTATATTTTGCACAAAGAAAATTATTATTTGTAACATCCCATTGGTTGTCTAATAAAACTGTTCAACCTTCTACTCTTAGTTTGACATGGTGACCATCTTGTCGGTGACAGTATACAGAATAACTGTTCTTTCCTTGAAGGGTTTCATTCCGAAATTGTTTAGGATATCCCTTGGTACATCGCTTTTGTCCCATACCATCATCGATCATACATGGCACATTGGGATTGAGCTCTCCGCATGGTTCATGTAACATATTGGCAATAACCGTGGCATATGTTTTGGAATTTAGTTCTGGGTTGGGTATCTCAACACAGATGATGGCATCGTAGTCATTAGGAGTTTGTGTTTATTCTCTGGGTGGAGTATAACTAAGATATATGCATGTGAAAGACCTCACTTCTGAAATTCAATGATGTAAAT